AATGAACGCATGCTATTATCACCCTTTGTTACCCAGACTGTAGAACTTGTGCTATTGGTGGACGACCGAGATCATTAAAAAGTCACGTTAAGCTACTGCGCTAGCAAATCAAAAAGAATAATAGACTGTGTAAGCAAACGAATGTGGTAGATGATTTCGAGAGAGAGAGAGAGAGAGAGAGAGAGAGAGAGAGAGAAAGAGAAGTCCAACTTGCTCCACAATGTTATGAGTACCTAAGCATTTCGTTTCCATTCTGGATGAGATGTATGCTGGGATCACGTCTGCTGTCAGAGTTGAAGAGCTATGCTGGATTTTCCCTATTAACTGCAGAGTTCACCAGAGAGATGTACTTTCATCTTTGCTCTTCAACAATGCTCTCGACGTCCTAGAGGAAAGGCGGAGCTCAAGATATCGACTAGATATTTTGCTGATCTGGAGTACGAAGATGATACTGTCTGGGTGAGTAGTACGGGAAGAGGGCTCTGTCAACTGACGGCTTCCGTGTGCAACGCACCTACGAACGTTGGCCTCTTTCCTAACGCTCGAAGTCAGAAATTATCAAGTTATCCAGCCAGAGCCAGATAGGAGGGTCGATCGAACCTCGAGTATTTTTTGAAACGTGTCCAAATTTGAACTGAGAAACGAGTTACTCTTCATACGAAAATTCGCCGGTGCCTTGCTCTGTCAGATATGTGTACGTACGTACGGCTGTACAGCAAGGAGACAATTGTTCCAACGAATTGCCCATGCAACTGGGTGCATAAGAGTTCGTTTCGACGCATAATTAGGATTAAACAGCATTATCATGTAAGGAATGACTCTTTTCACTTCCGGGCACTGGTGATCACGGCAGATGCAGAGATTAAAAATAGGAGGTTGACCGTGTTATACAAGCTGTTTGAGCGTAAACCATTTATTCCACCCTGTGAGCTTTTCGTGTGAGCGCCAAAACCAGCTGATGACAACAAGGAGGCCAATACGCAAGGCAGAAAGAGATCTGCTTTTGGAGAGGAATAGTTCCTTCCGCAGTGCGGTAATCGGTGTCTTATAGCAAAAGTGTTGAAAAGCTGGGAATACAGCAGACACCGCAAACCAGACACGTTCTGCTTATGCAAATGGATCAAGGTGATGATTTCAAAATACAAACTTGCTCAACTCATAATCATATCTTCTTTGTTGCTGAACGCATAACTGAGGAACAGATGGACATGAGCACAAACTAAGCTAGGGCAAGAAAGCTCAATGCCAATAAATGCTTATTTGAAATCGAAGAAAAAACCAGTGACCAAGAAGGAAAATGAAGTTTACACAGGTCATCGCTATGTCTCCTGTGACATATACGTAGAAGACTACTATGTTTAAAGTCTGGCAAAGAAATTCATTAAGGGGTATTTTGAAATAAGTTGCGAATGTAATAATGGACTCTGCGCTTCAGTATCATATGCGTATTTGTATATAAAGGAAGACAGCACTGCCTCAAAGGAGAGATGAGAGTACACAAGCACGCAACACAAACAACAAAAGAAAACTTGTCATGGGGTTACCCAAAATGTACTGCCAAAGAAGTTTTAGACATTGCATTATCAACGAATATGCATCGCTTGTTACCCAACACTCACTTACTACAGCAAAGTGCAAACATTTTTGGAGACTAACCTTAAAACCAAGTGAACTGCATATCAATGGACTAATTTTAGAGCTCGTTAAACGAGGTCAGCGGGATCCTATATATTTAGACATAAGAACCATACACTGTACACGGTGGCCATTAGATTTCCCGTCATTTTTCACGTAACAGTATGCAGTAGGTCACTGTGATTGCGTAATCAAATCATCAACGCATGTGTCACGTTAGCATCGGCAACTGTTCATTACAAGTTCACTGAACACGTATGGCACTATGTTGAAGGGTTCAGTATTACGCGAAAATATTTCTTATACTCATTTTTTGCAAATCTGACTTTCAGTCGGCAAAATGACTAGCCAGTGTTTACAATCCTTTGCGGATATATGTAAAAGATTATTTTTTCTCTGATGAGAAGTAGAATTTGTCAAAAATTCTGTTGTATTCAATAAAGAATCAAGCTCACCGCTTAAATATTCTATCCAAGCCTGCACAGATATTGAAGGCTGCGTCTCTTTGATGTGTTTCAGAGTTTCGTCAAGAAGAATATCGCCGGTAGGAGCGTCCGATTTCAAGATGACCTAACGTAAAAATTGGTTAATCACGTCACAACAAGGCTAAAATGCTTCAGAACAATACCTTCCTCAGCGATAAACTTCTTCTTCGCATGCCAGCTTTCTCTAATTCTATTCGACCACGGAGTGCCAATTCGATCAGCACACAACCACGAAGGCCAGTGCTCAAACAGTCGTTCCAAAACGATGTATAGCCCTAAATCTTTCGAAGTACGGACGACGGAAAACCTTGCTTTACAAAGTATTAAAGAACTTTCCATACGGCTGTCTCATGAACTCCATGAAAGATTTGCCGTCGAAATAACTACGCAATTCTTCTACGAGTTGAAACTGAGGAAAGAAATAAAACCATAAACTCGGTATGAAGATTGAGACTCAAAACGTTTGGTTTTAATTGTTGTTGAAAAATCAATTTTACTGCAAACTTGGACGCCACACAACTATAAATACTCAACTCTAAAAACCTTAAACAACCTCCATACGTCGAAATAACAACAAAACTAAAATCCTATTCAGAAGAAACCTGACGTCAGTGACCATCACAAAAGTTGAAATGCGTGGCTGATTCTAGAGACTGAGATTCTTAAGGTCTTACATAATTC